CACCCTGCAGAAAAAGACAGAACTCTGAGGTTCCTGTGTTTGTGCTGCGTCTAATACAGATAATATAAAGAAATGAATTGCCAACAAACACAACGCTGCTTTAATTCCCTGACACTGAGGAAATTGATCTCCAAACTCAGGAAGGCAGCGGGGGAAGTCAATACCCTCATTGCCTCCTGGGAATTGTAGGCATTACAAATGGATTAGAGTGCTTTTACATCAATACTGGTTATCATTACGGTAGCCTGTTGCTGTTGTGAGGAGGAAGGCTGGTTGTGTAGTTCATCTCTGAATAACAAAGACTACACATGTCACTACTGTACCATCAACTTCTCATGTTCACTGCTTAGAGATGATGAAGGGAAAGGAGCAGGATTGAGAGGCATGAGTCTCTGACATTTCAAGAGATCATCCATCTTTTTAAGCTACTGCAAGCTCACATTAGTGTCCTAACTTGGTGCATACACTCACACAGGTTTAGGCATCTGTGTTTGTGAGGACAGTGAATGGCATAATGCTTTCACATTAGAAACAATATCCCTTACAAGACCCTGATGCTAGGATGAGAAAAGCATGCGGAAGCCATGTGCTGTCTTTTGTTTTGAAGCGTCATCTTGTTTTTTCTTCCTCTTTTTATTTGTTGGATCACTTCTTAATTCTTCCTGCAGTTCAGCTGAGATAACGACAAAATCTGCAATCTGCACACCGTGACAAAAAGAAAGCAATTAAGGAAGCAGTCTGTTAAAATCACAGGAAAACATGTGGAACTGCTGGATGAGAAACGAAAATCTGAATCCATTTTTCCTGTGCAAAAGTCTTGAGTCACCCATTATTTCTTTGTATTTTGTTTCCAAATATCCCAAAGAGCTATTGGCTGGGAAATTGGCATATATGCCTTTAAAAAACTGAGGAAACTGGATAAGTGGAGAACAAAAGAAGAAGTGACATGCTTAAAAAACTGTCTACAGCAGATGAACATTATCGGAAAGTCGTGTCCTTGAGAAACAGGAAAAAATCCAGACACAGGCATCTGTCCTTTCAGCCAATCATCTACTGATCCCTGAAGCCTCAGCAGAAATGGTCTCAGTGAAAGGGTCGCTGTCAAAAACCCAATATTAAGTAAGGGAAGAGAAATCAAAATGAAATCATTCAGTACCATCTGGAAAGCATCTGAAACAACAGCTTCATTTTTCAGCATGACAATGATCCCAAACACACTGCCAGTGCAGTAAAAGCACACCTGGATAGGAAAACACACAGTGGAACGCATCAGTCATGGACTGGCCTCCCCAGAGCCCGGACCTCAAAACAGTGTGGAGTCATCTTGACAGGATAAGAAAGAAAATTATAAACAAAATGTGTTTAGAATTTTACATTAAGGTTAACTGTGTGGTTTAAAGTAGCTTGTTATGTGCCCTGTAAAGGTGACCCAGCGCATAAGTTTATTAATTAGAAAGTATTTAGCAGTGTTCTTTTAAATGTAAATTTAATGGATCTTACTGTGCAAGCACAGCTGCACATAAGTGACTCTGTGAATGTATTTTTATGTTGTTGTTGTTTGTTTTTCTGTTAATGAAATGCCAAAGTGAGCAACCAGTTAACCTTACAAGCCTGTGTTTGGACTGTGGGAGGAGAAGCCATGCAGTTACTGGGAGAACATGCAAAGTAAACACAGACAGGCCCCAGATGACCAGAATGTTTTTTTTTTTAATCCAGAGCCTTCTTTTGTAAAACAATCAAATGCTTTGTTGCTAGTCCTTAACTCATTTTAATTTCTGTAGCATTTATTTCCCCCTTTGGACTCCTATAACTAAACATCATAAATCGTAAATATATCTGCTCCTTCATATCATCCCCTGGGCATAGTTTCCTCTTTTTGATTTAGTTTGAAATGTTTCAATAAATATACACTGACAGGACTGTATCATCTCTGTCAGCCTGTCCCAATTCTTCACTGAAGCTTCATGATAAAATAAAATATTTATACCAAAGACCATCCACCCATCTTTTTTAACCTGTTATCTGATATAGGGAGCTTATCCCAGCAGTCATATGGCGATAGGCAGGACACACTCTGGACTAGTTACCACAGAGAGACACACAATCACACACTCTCACATCAGCACCAATTTACAGGCACCAATTAACCTAACGTGCATGTTCCTGGACTTCATTAGTAAATCCCTGCAGGCACAAGGAGAACAAACCCGCTTCAACATGTTTTTGTGTGTTACGTTATACACATTTCCCTAAAGGGAGGGCTTCAGCATAAATTTGAAATAAAGTAATGTGGATTTGGGGTGTGCAGTGGATGTAGTTCATATCAAGAAGGTTCTGGGTGGCTGCCTGTGCCTGCATGGGCTCTCTCCAGCTTCCTCCCCCAGTGCAGAGACATGAATGTTAGGATAATTGGCGATTCTAAATTGGCAGTAGGTGTGGATTTGAGTGACAGCAGTTATCTGTGTCTTCCTATTATCCCTGTGATGGATAGATAGATTTAAACATAGCTTGCCTCTTGCCAAATGTCAGTTGGGATAGACTTCAGCCCCCCCACAATGCTTGTTGGCTAGGCTGTTAGGAAAATTGATAGGTGGACTAAGGGGAATTCAATCAATATATTATTAAAGTCATTTAAATATATGGATACATTGGTAGAAAATATAGGAATGGATGACAAAAGTGCAAAATTGCAGACCACAATTTCAATTAATCCTTTCTTTTAAAGTTCCGTTGTTAAAACTGGCTCACACTTAAAATTTTAGTGACGATCAGGGATAAAGCCATAGATACGTCTGCCTAAGGCTGCTAAATTATAGATAAAAATCAGTGGATTGCCCCTTTATCTTTAGCCCAGCAGTGTGCTAAATGCAGCCCAGCAAAGGTCAGATTCAACCCAAATGACAGCTTTTTTTAAAAAGTTTTCTTTAATGATGAAAAACCCTACGACTCCCAGCCTAACTGCACAGGAATTAAAATTCATCATTCATCATAAAAAAATCTACTCGTGAAGGTTTTGTGCCTTTCTGAAAAGGCCAAACTGTCTCTCCATGAGACACAAATGAGCATAAGCATGCACACACAAACCCTCCCAGATCCTCTGACTTAGCTTTTGGCAGCAGTGTCACAATTACTACAGACCTCACAGCCTCACCGTTGACTTCGCTGCCTCAACCGACTGTGAGAGCGAGTGTGAGAGTGAGTGCGAGCGTGCGATTGTGAAAACAACTCCAAGTGTTGTTAGATGACTCTACTCTGTAACAGCTCGCTGTGTCAACGTCAGCCGTGCAAGCAGACGGCTAACGAAGGCAGCCCGAGTCGCCACATGGTGCCGTGTGACATGTGCTGGCATCTTCGTGCCTCCTTCACCAACTTTGTTTGGTGACTCTGCACTCCAGAGGATGTGTCTCCTTTTAAGAGGGAATAAATATTCATTGTGAATTCTTCTTCAGCTCAACAAACAGGAAGAAGAACAACATAAAAAGTAAACAAATGTAAATGTCATTGGCTTAAAAATTCTCATCTGTCAACCTGATGAGAGCTGATGGCTCTTGGAATGAAGCCTTTTTCAACAGCACATTGCTGTGGGCTATAAATATATATATATAATAATCATTCTTCGGTCACCCAGTCCTATCATTTGCTCACGAAGGCATCACTGTCATGCAGAAATGCACCATGAGGACTCGTATATGCCAAATTCTTGTAGGCAGTCCACTTTAATCCAAAATAAATGTGAGTTATCCTTTTTTAAATGCTGAGAACACCCATAAGACATATTTGAGAAGAATTGCATAGCAAAATGCTTTCACATTAAACACTTTGTTAAAAAAAAATAGCTGCTGGACTTAACTGTGTGTGACACAGAGACTTTAAGCTAAACTACAGGCTAGTGAGGTCATAGACAAAGTTGAAGTTGAATGTCCACCATAAACTGGCAGCCCACACTGGCTGAGGAGAGGATGCGATACCAGAATGCAGCCACATTTCTGTCCTTGATGACTGCATTAAGATTGGATAAAGAATTTGATGGCAGACAATTACCTGTCCTTAAATATAGAAGAAAAACAGAACTTTCTGGAATTCATTCTTACTCTGCCTGAGCAAATCATCCCTGGATCGCTTACAGATGAGACTGCTCACCAGGTCATCTAAAACCTCCCATGTGACACCAATTCTGTCCTGTTGACACCAGCTCCTCATTAGGTTTAAGGTTTTTCACTCTCAGAGCTCTTCATGGTCAGATGCTTCCCTAAATTAGTAAATGCCTACATCCATACCTAACTACGGGGTGTATGAAGTGAGCTGATAGATGCTTCTTAGAGGTACTTCAGTCCAGGTTAACAACAAAAGAAGATCGTGCTTTTGAGATGCGGCCTCCAAGTTGTGGGATTTGTTTCCAGTTGTATTGTTGTATCTTATTTTATCCTGTAAGGCACTTTGTGACTGCCTCTTCCTTTCTGTGCGAAGTAGCTTTGTCGGCTATTTAGGTTACCTTTGAAAAAAAAAATGTCACAGTTAAGTACACCAGCCTGTAGATCCACCTTTAGCATCAATAACTGGAAGTGATTGTTTCTGTGTGACTTTATCAGTCTCTCACATTGTTAAAGAGGAATTTTGTTCCAATATGTTTTTTGGCTGTTTATTTTCTTCCTTAACAAAGGTGGTGGAGTTTAGCGAGTTTTTTCTCAAAGCAGACTTGATTGGAAATCATGGAATGCACAATAAGTGAATGTGTGTGCTCTGTGTTTTACATTAATTGTAGTCAGTGACATTCATAATTTGACCAATTATAAATCAAAGTGTGACATCCTGGTTGAATTTCCCAGCTTAAAGGTCAGTTTATGCAGCTTATTTACTATACCTAAAGGTTAAAATGTGCATAAAGCCCTACATCACCTCCTCAGACCACAGTGTACACTGAATAACATGTATTACTACACAGCAATGTGTAACACTGACATCTAATATCACTTGTCTGTCACTGTGTCCTCCTGCTCCAGGTACGTGTCTGATTCTGGGCTGCATGATCTACCCAGATGGCTGGGACAGCGACGAGGTGAAAAGGATGTGTGGCGAACAGACGGATAAGTACACACTAGGCGCCTGCTCGGTGCGCTGGGCCTACATCCTGGCCATCATGGGCATCCTGGATGCTCTCATCCTCGCCTTTCTGGCCTTCGTCTTAGGAAACCGCCAGGACAGTCTGATGTCTGAGGAGCTGCTAGGAGACAGTAAGAAGACACCTGCACACGCTTCCTCTTTGGGGCAGTTTTTATGGTGTTTTATGGTAATATTTCAAGAAATTACGTTATCTGCACCTCACCAGGTGTGATCAATTAGCAATTAAGCCTAGGCAACACCTGAAGTGTCTGAAAAGACGATAAGGGGTGCAGAGAAGTTTAACAATATAAATTATATATATACCTATGGTATGGTAGAATTTTTAAGACTGATATCGATGTGTATACCGATACCAAAACCAACATTCCAGTATGTCAGCCGATTACATTTTCTTTCAAACAAACAAAAACACAATCAAATTTCTCTAATATTTGTTATGTGTAGTTATTTATTCAAATAAATGATTCAAACAGGGAAGCTGCAGAGTGCCCTCTGGTGGATAAACTATGAAACATCAACACTCATAACGTGGTTAAAGGGTGTATCTCCTGTCTCTTTATTTTTTACATTTTCATATAAATGCAGAGGCCAATAAATTGACAAATCGGTAATATTGGCTGATAATATGAGCCTGCTGGTAATTCGGTTCAGATGAATCAGTCAATCACATCAAAACACTTGTTGTTAGGCACACTTATACAACCTGCTCAAAAATAAGCTGGAAAAGTTTTCCTGTGATTGAACATCTAAGCCCTGCAGAAAGTCATTACCTGTTGTTCGTCAGATTTGTGTCGTCATTGCAAATGCAATTTCTAAGAATAAATAAATAAATATCTTTATTACTTTCCAAACCCATTTTATAGTAATTGAGGCAGTTGGGTATACAGCAAACAAATAACGGCTGCAGTGCAATTATACCTGAAATGAGATCCGGGCTGTTTTCAAAGAAAAACAAAAGAGGTGCTACTGAACTTATTAAAAAATCAATTTGACTGCTGGACTAAGAGAATAAGCAGCAGGTCCCACCAAGATTTTATTCCACTTCTGGCCTGGGGGATGTTTCATAAGTATTCAAAGTCTCAGGTGAAGTCAAAGCATTTTGTTTGTTTTGTCAAGCCTGGAGACATTAAACCTATGACTTCAGTCCTCACTACTTTTGCTGTGTTTTTCTGCTTAACTGGCCTTTCTTCTCACATCAAAGACATCATGTTTCCCCACATCCCAGCAGCAGCTTTAAATAAAGAAAATGCCTTTTATTTGCTTGCATGATTTCACATGCACGAGCTCTTAATTTGCATACATTAGACGGGACGTTATACACCACCTGCTCGGCTGGTTTTGTTTGCTCCTGTTACCAGTGAGATTTTTCTTTCTTTGACTGGGCTCAATGACAACTACGCTCGAACCCAAAGAGGATGATTTAAAACCGCGAGGAGGCTGGAAGGAGGCAGGAATGCAGATGAAGGAGGACAGAGATGAAAAGCAATCGGAGATGGGCAGAAAGAAAAAGACGGGCAACTGAATGGAAGAATGCACCAATAGCAAGGGTTAATTGAAGCCTGGGGATGCTGGACAGAGTCATGAATTACTAATGGCTGTTTACACAGCTTGCTGCCAGCCTGTCTAAATGAATCACAGCCACCCTATCAGCCGGGACACAGTTGCCTGTTAGCTCATATAAGCAAAGTGACTGAGAGGAAGAAGCCATTATCAACCTAGAGACCGGAGAGTGAGGACAAGACAGAGGGAGAGGGATAATGAGGCGAGGAGGACAATGAGAGAGGGAGAGAGGCAAATGTAGATGAAATATGATCCCCAAAGTGAAAATGGGGGATTCATCAAACAGCAGATGAAGTGTAAATGGGATGTTTTTCTTATCCTGTCACTCAGGAGGATAGATTGTGACACCTGTCCAAGTTTGAAACCTGAGGAAATCAGAGGAGGGGGAGGTGGGCTAATTGTATGATGTTTGATTCTGTAGGGGCAGGAATGTTATGCAATACTGCCGCCTGCTGGTTATGACAACTTCTTCATACTTTCCACTCACATCCCTTTCTTCTTCCACCCCCACAGAGAGCGGTAATAATGCCATATAACGTCTGCTGATGCCATTGCAGCAACACACACACAGGTAAGTGTGTCATTGTAGAGCACAAGAACAATCTCTAAACATTCAAATAAAAATGATAATGTCTTTCCTCATTACAAAAACATTTTATCCCATCCTTTTTTCTCCTTCTTAGGCCCACTAAAACCTAAAAGCCTAATTTACTGATTGAGGTGAAATAAAGGTTTTCGTGGCAATTAAAGTGAGACTATGAATTTTAAAGCATTCTGCCTCTCTTACAAATCAATACCTGAATTCCTGAGTAATAAAATTAGTCAATAAACTTGGGGTTTTTTGAGCCTGTACTGGCTAATGTTAGAAAGCTGTCTAGAAACAGCAGATGTGTTGCTGTATTACTCAGTTAATTTACTGACTTCATTTTCTGGCTGTGGTCCCTCTCGCCTCATGAGTCAGTTCGCCTGTTGACTGTGCCTTTAAACTTTAAAGACCTCAATCTCCTCGATCGGCCGCTTTAAAGTTTAAAGCGGCTGAAAGTTTAAAGCAGTTGATTGAAGTGCAAACAGTGGCCGCAGCTCATGAAAGGTAGCAGTCTTACTTTTTAAGCTACAACCACCACCACCACCGTCGCCACAAGCAATAAGAAATGATAATCTATTAATAATAAAGCAATAATATATTTTTGACAGTCTGTCACGTTATGTTCAAACTCTCGCATTACCCCCCTCTGCAACCCCTACTTACCTTACAGTAATTGTGTGAGAGCGTTTGGTGTTTTTGGTGTTTAACTGCTGATTGTCTAAGGTGTGGATAACGGCATGCCTGATGCTGGCTTCTCATATGTAGTAATTTGAAATATAGTACACTGAAAAAAGAGAGGTGAGTTTTATGTTTTTGTTTTAAATCCATTGCTCAGTATCTAATTTTAATCTCTTAGAACACCCAAACAGATTATCTGAGTAGTTTTCGGTTCTGGTTTATTGGTTTTAGTCAGTGATGGGATTGGTAATTTTGCTTAACGAGCACAAATGAACTCACTTGTACAACTCAGAACTGATTCAGCGTGCTGTATTCCCAGGCCAGTGGTGTCAGAGCACTAAAAGAACAGTGTACAAGACTCTGTCATCGGCTCTTGCTGAAGCCTTGTACATCCATGAGAGCACCATCTCTGAGCTGACTGTTCTTGGTGGAAATGTGATTGGATAGAGGTGCTGAGATGAGGCACTTCAAACTGTACTTCTGCCATTCTTGTGGCAAAACCTTACCCATGACTGTGCCCACACCCACAGCGCCAGATCATGGAAGGTCTTTCTGGATCAGGAGCATGCCCAGACACTTGCCTGACCTGTATTTAGCCCCGATATGTCTCCTGCTGGGGCAGCACAGTGAGACAGTTAGCTTTGTTTCCTCACATAGAGAAAGTCCTTGGTTTGAATCTACTGGTCAATTGGGGCCATACCCATGGGTACTCTAGCTTCCTTACAGAGTTCAAAGATAGGCATTGGTTAGGTTAAGAGTGCCCCAGCTTGCACTCTTAATTGAATAAGATGATGGGGCGTATACCTCTCATATATCCATTCAGAAATGTGCAGTATTGTGAGCAACCCGTCACTTCTTTAGGTTCTACAGCAACTTATTGAACAATGTGCATGCATGGAAACTGAGTATATAAGGCAAAAGTGGAGTTTGTACAACTCTAATGAGCTTGAAAGTCAATATTTGGTGTTACTGCCTTTTTTCTTCAACGCAGCCCGAAGCCATGCTTTCTTGTAATTTCTTTAAGTAGCTCTCGAAGCTTTATGAAGGACACTCAAAGCTCTTGTTGGAATGTTGGCTGCCCTTTCTTCTGTTTTCTGTCCAGATAATCCCACACTGCTTCAGCAATGTAGGTCTGGGTTCTGGGGAGGCCAATAAGTGTTTCATTGTGTGTGTTTTTCTATCCTGGTATGCATATGGAGCTTGGAAAGAAAACAACTGGACTTCTTCAAGTTTAGTGAACACCTTTCACCTCTCATCCAAGAAGCTTCTTCAGTTCTGAGCTCTTCAGTTCTGAACTGAAGAAGCTTCTTCATTCTTTATAAGTCAATGCTGAGTGTTTCAACCAACAACAAAAAAAGACTTTCCACTGAAAATGGTCAGGTACAATCACTGGACTGAAAACTTTGAAAGACCTTCAGAAAGCTTGGAGAACTATTGCTCAGAACCACTTTTTAAAAAATGACAACAATTTTGAGGCAACTCAAGACTTTGTACAGGACTGTATATTATAGTGTTTATCTATAAAAATCTTAAAAAATCAACTTTTTTTTCGACTCATAAAATAACATTTCTAAAAATGCTGGTGTCTGTCTCCATTTTATGTTGCAGCATATGAGCCAAATATTAACATTAAATCCAGGACACCAGAGTTTGCCAACCTCAGGCATGCTGTTATCCACCCCTTGTCAGGTGCAGACAATCAGCAATTAAACTCAGGCAACGCTCTCAGGCTGCAGGCGAGCACAGGCGCTTTTTATCATACCACTATACGGCCACACTAACTGTGAGTTAAGCCACATTTAGTAATCTAAGTCAATAGAGAAACGATGAGAAATGGTGCGTGTTTTAACAATGTCACGTCAGCTTCTATTTAAACCAAAATGTGAAGCATGCATAAAATCTGTAAAATAGAGATGAAAGAAAACAGTTGAAAATAATCAGTCTGTCTGTTCTTTCGTATAAGAATAAGTCTTGTAATAAGTTTATGAAGCTCTCTAAACCTTAGTATGTAACATGGGGCATTTACCTGACCATCTTTATGTGTGCATACAGTCTAAACTGCATATTATGCATTTATATAAAGATAAAAATAACATACAGATTACAGTTTGTTGCAATTTCTGAGGTATTTTTTGCCCCCCCCCCCAAAAAAAATTTTGATCTAAGTATGAAGGGTCTAAATAAATACTGCAAAATGAGTCCTTAAAATATTCAAAGGCCAAAAAGAATCAAATTTTTACAATTCAAATCTTATGTTAGGAAAAGATTTTGACTTCCATCCATCCATCCATCTTCATCCGCTTTATCTGGGGCCAGGTCACGGGGGCAGCAGCCTAAGCAGAGAAGCCCAGACCTCCCTCTCCCCAGCCACCTCCTCCTTCAGCTTATCCAGGGGAACACCAAGGAGTTCCCAGGCTAGCCAAGAGATATAATCTCTCCAGCGTGTCCTGGGTCTGCCCCAGGGCCTCCTCCCAGTGGGACATGCCCGGAACACCTCACCCAGGAGGCGCCCAGGAGGCATCCTTGTCAGATGCCTGAACCACCTCAGCTGTCTCCTTTCGATGTGGAGCAGTAGCTGCTCTACTCTGAGCCCCTCCCGGATGACCGAACTTCTCACCCTATCTCTAAGGGAGAGGCCAGCCACCCTTCGGAGGAAGCCCATTTTCCCCGCTTGTATCCGCGATCTCGTTCTTTCGGTCACTACCCACAGCTCGTGGCCATAGGTGTGGGTAGGGACGTAGATCGACCGGTAAATTCAGAGCTTCACTTTTACACTCAGCTCCCTCTTCACCACGACGGATCGGTGCAGCGTCCGCATTACTGCAGCTGCAGCCCCAATCCGTCTGTCGATCTCCGGCTCCCTTCTCCCATCACTCGCGAACAAGACCCCGAGATACTTGAACTCCTCCACTTGGGGCAGGAACTCATCCCCGACCCAGAGTGGGCACTCCACCCTTTTCCGGCTGAGAACCATGGCCTCAGATTTGGAGGTGCTGATCCTCATTCCCGCTGCTTCACACTCGGCTGCTAACCATTAGAGTGTGAGCTGGAGGCCATCACCCGAAGTCAACAGAACATCATCCGTGAAAAGCAGAGATGAGATTCTGAGGCCACCGAAGTGAAAGCCCCCCACCACTTGGCTGCACCTAGAAACCCTGTCCATAAAAATTATGAACAGAATCAGTGACAAAGGGCAGCCCTGGCGGAGCCCATCACCCACCGGGAACGAGTCCGACTTATTGCCGGCAATGCAAACCAAGCTCTTGCAACGGTTGTATAGGGATCAAATGGCCCATAGCAATGGGCCAGACACCCCATACTCCCGCAACACCTCCCACAGGACACCCCGAGGGACACGGTCGAATGCCTTCTCCAAGTCCACAAAACACATGTAGACTGGTTGGACCAACTCCCATGCACCCTCAAGTATCCTTGAAAGGATAAAGAGTTGGTCCAGTGTTCTGCGACCAGGACAAAAACCGCATTGTTCCTCCTGTATCCGAGGTTCGACTAGCGGACGAACTCTCCTTTCCAGCACCCTGGCATAGACTTTCCCAGGGAGGCTGAGGAGTGTGATCCCCCTGTAGTTGGAACACACCCTCCGGTCCCCCTTCTTAAAAATGGGGACCACCACCCCGGTCTGCCAGTCCACAGGTACTGCCCCTGATCTCCACGCAACATTGCAGAGGCGAGTCAACCAGAACAGCCCTACAACGTCCAGAGACTTCAGGAACTCGGGGCGGACCTCATCCACACCAGGAGCTCTACCACCAAGGAGTTGTTTAACTGCCTCAGTGACCTCGCCTCCGGAAATTGTCGGGTCATTCCCCTCATCCCCAGACTCTGCTTCCTCCTCGGAAGACGTGTCAGTGGGATTAAGGAGGTTCTCGAAGTATTCCTTCCACCGCTTGACAATTTTCTCAGTCGAAGTCAGCAGCGCTCCGCCAGCACTATACACAGTGCAGGTAGAGCACCGCTTTCCCCTCCTGAGACGCCTGACGGTTTGCCAGAATCTCTTCGAGGCAGTCCGAAAGTCTTTTTCCATGGCCTCTCCGAACTCCTCCCACACCCGAGTTTTTGCTTCAGCCATTGCCCGAGCTGCATTCCACTTGGCCTGTCGATACCTGTTGGCTGCCTCCGGAGTCCCACAGTCTAACCAAGCCCGATAGGACTCCTTCTTCAGCCTGGTGGCTCCCTTCACCTCTGGTGTCCACCATTTGGTTCGGGTTTTACCACCACGGCAGGCACCAACCACCTTGCGGCCGCAGCTCAATGCAGCAGCTTCGGCAATGGAGACGCTGAACATGGTCCAATCGGACTCAATGTCCCCAGTCTCCCTCAGAATGCTGTTGAAGCTCTGCCGGAGGTGCGCGTTGAAGATCTCACAGACTGGGGCCTCTGCTAGACGGTCCCAGCACACCCTCACTACACGTTTAGGTGCACCAGGTCTGTCCAGCGTCCTCCCCCGCCACCTGATCCAACTCACCACCAGGTGGTGATCAGTTGACAGCTCAGCCCCTCTCTTTACCCGAGTGTCCAGAACATATGGTCGCAGGTCTGGTGATACGATTACAAAATCGATTATCGACCTGCGGCCTAGAGCGTCCTGGTGCCACGTGCACTTATGGGCACTCTTATGTTCGAACAAGGTGTTCGTTATGGCCAAACTGTGATTAGCACAGAAGTCCAATAACAAAACACCGCTCGGGTTCAGATCAGGGAGGCCGTTCCTCCCAATCACGCCCCTCCAGGTCTCGCTGTCGTTACCCACATGAGCATTGAAGTCTCCCAGCAGGACAACAGAGTCTCCAGGTGGAGCACCTTCCAGCACCCCACCTAGGGACTCTAAGAAGGCTGGGTACTCTGAACTGCCACTCGGCGCATAAGTGCAGATGACAGTCAGGACCCGCTCCCCCACCCTAAGGCGCAGGGAACAAACCCTCTCATCCACCGGGAAAAACTCCAACGTACCGGCAGCAAGCCAAGGGGATATTAGAATACCCACCTCAGCCCGCCGCCTCTCACCAGGGGCAACTCCAGACTGAGACAGAGTCCAGCCCCTCTCCAGGAGACTGGTTCCAGAGCCCAAGCCATGCGTAAAGGTGAGCCCGACTATGATTAGCCGGTACCTCTCAACCTCACTCACTAACTCAGGCTCCTTCCCCACCAGAGAGGTGACATTCCATGTCCCGATTGCCAGTCTTGGCAGCCAGGGATCAGTCCGCCAAGGCCTCCGCTCCTGGCCGTCGCCCAGCACACAATGCACCCAACCCCTATGGCGCCTCCTGCGGGTGGTGGGCCTGCGGGAAGATGGGCCCATGTCCCCTCTTCGGGCTGTGCCCGGCCGGGCCCCATGGACTATGGCCTGGCTCCAGGGCGGGGCCCCGGTAACCCTATCCCAGGCAGGGTAAACTGTTCCCTCGATGTTTTCTTCATAAGGGTCTTCTGAATCGCTCTTTGTCTGGTCCCTCACCCAGAACCAATTTGCCATGGAAGACCCTACTAGGGGTCAAAAGCCCCCAGACAACATAGCCCCTGGGATCCCTGGGACACACAAACCCCTCCATCACGATAAGGTAGCGATTCACGGAGAGGACTTATTCTGTAATTTGTAGCTGACCCATTATAAGCTCACTCACAGGGGGAAGATATGGTCTCATAATCTGATGAATATATGAACTATTGATAAGATTTAATGTATTTTACATACATAATTTTAAAAAAACTATTTTGTACATCAGTTTAAAGCAGATTTTCCTAAAATGAGATGTATAGACTCACATGAACCCTGTTCTCCAACCTCCGTTTCACATAACTGTTGCTCCATTCTCTCCTCTTGTGTTTATCTTCTCTGTCATGATATGAACACCAGAGCTGAGAGGCCACAATAACATTAAGCATTCACTTTACTTGCATTATGTTTTTTACTGCCACCATTTTGGCAGTTTTTGCAACCATACTTCACAAGCGAGAGGTGGATCTAACTGAGAAGCGGAAGGACACAGCACATTCACTGGGTAGAAATTTGGTAAAGCACACCCTGATGCAAAATGGATATTAAGGGCTTGGACACCACAAACTCACAGTCTACACACATACATGTAAAGCAGAGCCCAGAATAATGTTATAACATGAGAATTGGCTGAATTCACCCAAATCTTCCCACATGGTTCTTAAGTGGAAACCAACCAGTACGAAATAAACAAAAAAAATTAGTAATCACAACCCCTCCTGTCATTTACCCTCCAGCTTTCTTACCCACTGCTTCTGATGAGAAAGAGCCAAGTTTAATTGTTGTGTTTACAAGCAGTTGCCAATTATTTTTCTTGCATTATCACATCATGTGCTTAAATTATTTTTTATAATAAATAGATGATGTGCGCACAAGACCTACTCTTGGATTTAAAGACAAAGATTTTATTCAGTTTTATTTATATATCTCGAAACCATAGCAACAGTCACCACAAGGCATTTAATATTGGAAGCTAAAGATCATCATGGTTCCAAATTATGTTAATGTCAGCTGATTCTACATTATTTTTCTCAGTGTCTGCAGGTCTTACCACCTAGATGTAAAGTCACTTCAGGATCCAGCTTTCCTCTCCTAGTCAACCTTGGAGCTTGGATGCAGAACTGATGAGTGGAGAATCAACATCAAAGAAGAAGAAGGACAGGAGGAAGTCTGGAAGAAGCCACACAACCTCATTATGGAGACTAGGAGACCTTTTGTCCTCCCTGGAAGCTCTTTCTGTAAAATAGTCCTCAGTTGCATCTCAAACTGCTAATTTTTGCAGGATAAATACTTTAAAAGACTTTGCCTGTCTTGGTAGGTTCATCATCACACCTGAGCTGTTCTGGAGGCGAGGATTGCAGGAGTGCAGAGGTTCAGCTGAAAAATAAAATTAAACAAAGTGTGAAAGACATGGCACATCAGCTCCAGGACACAGTTTGGACAAATACCACAGAGTGGCATCCGCTCAAATCGAATTAAATCAGAACGCATTAACAAGACTTTGACCGACACAAATAAGGTCTTAACAGACTTGAGGTCAAGGCTGTCAGATCTTCTTTCTTATCACGTCAACAAACTTCCTGCAAAGGACTCCAGCTTCGACACAGTTTGACCTTTTAATTTAAACACGAGCATTGTCTGCAGAGATGTGAGGGACTGGAGAGAATGACAGGCTGGATAAGCGAGCAGGAAGAACACAGCTGTTTTCTTATAATTAAATGTTTGATGTGATAGAATCAAATGGTAGTAATTAGAAGTTTTTACTGGTGAGGACTGTGCAAAAACAGAGTAAAATATAAGAGTACTAAAAGGGCGAAAACATTGGTTATATAAAGTCTATAATCTGTGTATAGCTGTATGTTGATTGTGTCCCTGTGCTTTGTCTTAACTTTAAATTGTACATTTTGAAATGTCATTTTATTGTACCATTAACAGTATGTGCCATAGAGTATCTTGTAATCTAGCAGTATTGTGAGGAACTAAAAAGGGAGTAAGTGCTGGACTCGAACTGTGGATAGGTTTTGTATTGTTGTATCTTTCTTATTTTTGTTTCCTGTCATCCTTCGCTGTCTCACAACAAGAAAAGAACGAAAGGAAGAAATGAGTCTAACTTACAATAAATGTGTTAATGGAAAGAGCAAAAGAACTTAACAGGTTATGTGTTTTTGTTTTGGTGCTGAGGTTAGTTGCCTTCAGGTTGGTAGGCTACCGGTTTGGCCTACTCAGAAGGCCGAACTACTTATACCCGTCTGAAAAACGTAACTTACACATATCTGTTTTTCTACACCCATTGGGTTTAACAAATAACTTACAGTTTTGGTCAGAAGTTTACGTACAGTCATCTTGGGCATGAATGTCCAAAAAAAAAAGAAAGAACTGGATCCCCAAGTTTAACATAGTTTTGGATTTTCTCTAAAACATAAACAGGCACAGACCTGGCTTTTAACCTTCCTGCCTTCTTGGGACCTTTTTGTGCCACTGCTATGTGTTAAATGGCTGCCATTTCCACTGTGTTCAGTGGAATATAACCAAACTTGCCACAGGATAGTTTTTACCTGTCAATGTTAATATTCCAGTGTGAATTCCTTAAATCAGCCTAAAATGGCTGAGCAGCAGAAATCCCCACACCCATCACCCTGGGGACCATTTTCTGCCCATTGACTTCCATTATAAACGCTATTTTTCAACCCCAAATTATCATCATATGATTTTATTTTTTCTTCTTTTCTTGGATGTCAATGAAGACTCAGGGCCTTGAAGTTTTAATTTTTAAATTGCAAAAAAAATGCAAAAAAAAATAATGGCAGGTCAAAATGTATGTTGGTGCCAATCTTTGGTCCATCTAAAGGCCTACTTATAATGACAATCACATATTACTTCAACTGGTTTTTTGTGGAAATATTTAGTTTCGTTTTTTGGTTTTTGGGGCTTATAACACAGGGCGCTCATGTAATAACACTGGGATTTGAAGGGTTAAAACAACGAAAATATAATTAAAACTTTACATGAATATTTCAGGGAGAAGTAGTTTTACAAGGTTGGCTAATTTAAAGTGGAATAAAATATGGATATATGGTCTTTTTATGGCGTGGCTGAGAATGGTCCCTAGGGTGATGGGTGTGAGTTTTTTAAAGGATGGCAGGAGGGTTAAGCCTAGTGCACACATTTTCAACTGGGTTGGTCGTAGCTTTGGTCATTCAGGAAGCTTAAACAGCTGGAGGATCATCATTTCAAGTCCAGAAAAATATGCAAACTGTCACCCTCAGATGAACTGGTTAGGATGCTCAGGAAGCAACAAGGCTCAAGACTGCAATGAACTGGAAACTGCTGGAACACTAGCATCAGTGTGCACAGTGAAGGAGGTTCTATATCCTTATGGACTGAAAGCATCCTGACCAAGAAGGAAGCCCCTGCTCCAAAATCAGAAACTTCAACCTTGACTGAAATTTGCAGATGTTCACACGGGCAAGCCAAATGCTGTCTGGAGAACGGTTTCATGGCCAGATAAGAAATTAAAGATGTATGATGCACAATCTTTCCAGTGTCACAAAAGAGCAGTTCAAGTAAATCATTAAAAACCCCAAATTACCATGACATTCATGCCCATGATGGTATTTGCAATTGTCTGATCACAACTGCATAAGTGATTCATAAGGGACTTTTAGAGATGCTGTTTGCTGGAAACTTGCCCTTACTCTGTGCCAGGCTTGCTAACAAGTGCTACACCTGTTTCTGTGACCCCCTGACATTATGTGACCTGAGGTAAGTATTTACTTACTGTTCTTGACACCTGTTGACCAAGCACTAGCACTTATTCTGTATATAAAAAAAACTATAATCTGACCATGACCTACATTGTAGCCTGCTAAATATGTCTTTAGAGAAATCATCTTCCATGAACATACTTACCAGCTATCAAATACTTACAGATTGGAAAACATGGTACTCATAACAAAAATGGCTTCATAAGACATCACATACTCTATTCTGTTTTCCCCCTCTCTCCTTGAATAAAAATATAGGTTTTGCACTTGAGCAAGATGCACTTCTTTTCCACTGCATGTGTGCCTTTACGGGCCTTTTTTCCAGATCACTGAGTGAAGTAAAAAGCCATAATAAAGCACTCCTAAAGAAAGTACTCCCCCTATAATAGGTTTTCTCACAATCTTTAGCGAGTAAACACAGTTAATAAGTGGAGATTAATCAGTTTTACATTACACCTGTAGATGCATACCATCCTCAGCTCGTATGTCTCACTTCTCCAAGAATTTTTTTCAATTGTTAGTTCAGGTAATTAAATATTGAATTGCTACTATGTTCATACAGTAAAATCAAGAAGCACTTCATAATACAGCCGATGACCTGTAGTGTGATTTACCCACATTTCAGTACCTGAAAACAATCTGAAGACCTTAAAGGAAATAAGAAACAAATTATATTTAAGTATTTTTAAGTGATTGTTATTTTCAGATTATTTCTGCGTAGAAGTAGATGTGAGCTGGTTTAAGTTGGTTTTTGGAGGGGAAAAACACTGATAGTGTAGAAGTCTTTAAAAACTCACAAAAACTGTATGTATCAAATATGGTGCACTAGGCAGTAAGGGGTTAAGCCTCTTCACACTGACCTATGAATTATTCAGGCAAAATAAAGCCATCTAGTGCCAAAACTGTGGATTCTGTCATGGAACAAAAGACAGCCAACATCCAAAGAAAAGCTTGGAATGACCTTCAAGAAGCCTGGCACACAGTTCCTGAAGACTACTTAAAATACAAGAAAGCTTGGCTAAGATAGTTCAGCCTGTGTTGAAGAACAAAGATTGTCATAGCAAACATTGACTTTCAAGCTTCTTAGAATTGTATAAACTGTTTGGAGTTGGGGGTCTTTTTTTTACCTTGTGTGCTACATTTTTCCATTTTCGTTTGCAAGTGTTTCAGTAAATCACTAGTAAAATATTTATATAGATAAAACAAAACGAGGGGTTGCTTAAGATGTTTTTTCACTGTACTATAATAACCTATAATAACCACTGTGACAATACATCAAGTATAGTTTTTGCCTCTTTTCTTTTATAATATTAATATTTTAAAAATACTCTTGCTTGTAAAACACTAACAGTATAATTAGCATTTGCTTATCAAAAATAAATAGATAAATTGGAAATGTTGGGAAATAACACTACATTGTCAACTATCATAGCTAATAGAAATACAGTAAGTAATATAAATACTTAATTTAATACTAATACTGCATGGTGGTATAAATTTGGTAACATCACGATCAAAATAAAAAAATACTTATTTTAAAAATACATTGAGCTGCTATGCTGCTGGCATATTATGGCTTCTGCACCTTTCTGAACAGAAACGAGAATTCCTGTTACGTCACTGTTACCACAGCAAGCTGAAGGAGTCCTGATTGTTTGCCTTGCCACCCAAGGACACCCATCAACATTCTTGATCCAAAAGGTCCACATACCACTTTTAAAATAATAATAATGACAATAACAGAAAGGATTAAATATCTGGGTTGCTATACAGATGCAACCCTGCAGCACATTATGAAAGATATATTTTTTAAAATAAAAAACTTCACATTTTCTTAGAACACGTGATGGATTGCCAGAATCTCTTCAAGCCAGTCCAAAAGTCTTTTTCCGTGGCCTGTAAGAACTCCCCGCACACCTGAGTTTTTGCTTCAGCCACTACCCGAGCTGCGTTCCAGTTAGCCTTTTGGTAGTTATCAGCTGCCTCTTTAGTCCCACAGGCTAACCAAGCCCGCTTGGACAGTCTTGCTCAGGCACCAACCAACTTGCAGCCACAGCTCAGTGCAGCACCTTCATGGAGGTGAAGGGGTCCCTGAACATGGTCCGTTCTGACTCAATGTCCCCAGTCTTCCTCTGAATGTACTTGAAGTTCTGCCCAAGGTGAGGGTTGAAGATCTCTGCCAGGCGTTCCTCCGCCACCTGATCCAACTCATCACCACTTGACAGATCATTTGACAGCTCAACACCTTTCTTCAACCAAGGGTCCAGAACGTATGGCCACAGATCTGATGATATGCTTCCAAAATTGATGCCCTGTGGTCTAGGGTATCCTAGTGCCACTTGCACTTATCTACAGCCTTATGTTCGAACATGCCTGTTATGGACAAACTTTGGTTTGCACAGACACCCAGTACAGAACACCGCTTGTGTTCAGATCTGGCAACATGAAGTCTAAGTTTGATTACAGTTTGTTCATCCATGTTCCTACTTGCACCTATGGTCACACGCTCTGAGCAGTCTAATTGAAAGAATGAGGTTAATATAGGTGGATATAAGCAGTGGAAATGAGCTAGGGTGGCTAGGCTCAGCCTTACAAATAGAATAGGAGGGACTTAGGCTACGTTTTTTGTCTGCTTGTTCACACTACAAATAAAATGCGACAGCAAACGCTCTCTAGTGTGAACGCTCAAAGCGGTCCGCATGCGCAAAAGAAGACGTCACACACAACGCACTCCGTTTATACCCAGAGCAAACAATATTGTTTGGCTGATGGCCCTTAATATAAAGACTTCCGACTTTACGTTTCCCAATTTTTGCTTTAAGTTATTTTGTTATTTACATAATAATGTAAATAACCTAATAATTATCCTTATTGCTGTTTTAGAGGAGCGGTACTTCAAATGATAGTTGCAGATTTCTGTCAGAATCTGCAGATTATACAGTACAAATAAAATGTGCACGTTTCCCCAACGTTGTCTTCCCAACAGATTCACTAACATCTACACAGGATGACCAGGAAGCGTTCGCGATGTCTTATCGGGCGCTTCTCCGGAGCTGATAATTGGCGTCTGTCTTGTGTCAGTGACGTAAAAGACGGATTTAATGCGACATGACCATTCACACAGCAGTCGCTTTCTAAAACATCGGATATGTATCGGATTCAGTACCACATACGAAAGTGACCCAGATCGGATGTGAAAATATCGGATTTGTGCCGTTCACACTGTCATACCATGATCGGATATGGGTC